AATCTAAGTCTTGGAACTGGAGAAGGGATTAGATCCCTTGGATATTTCCATTGCTCCTTGAAACAATGGGGACAGGGGGTAGTGTTGCTCATCAAGTTTGCCAGAGGAAGAGAGATGGCACAGAGGACAAAGAATCCTGCTTATGGCAGGGGGAGGGGGAGAAGTAGGAAGAGAAGGAAGAAGAGGGCTGATCCAAGTAGACAAAGGTGCTTTGTTTCTGTGGTTTCTCTGTATATTGGGCAACATTTGGCAACAATGCACCTTGATTAATAAAGCCACCATCTTCCTGCCTCTGCCTGCCAACTTTCTCCCTTTTGATAATAGCTCAGCCACCCATAGAAACACAGCCAAAGACATTCAAGAACATCAGCTCTACTCGAGGGGGCCAGCTCAGGGCCTAATGCAGGGACTTTCCCCAAAACACATTTCTGTGAAGACCATAGAATTTGGTGAAGACTTGAGATGGTGAAGAAGCAGGAAGTTTTTCATCTCTCTGTCTCTCTCATTTGTGCTCATTGTCTGTTACTCTCTTCAGGATGATTAGTAAAGCAATGGTCAATAATACCAAGGGGTCAGGTATCATAAAGAATCACTGGATGGGGACCTGTCACTGACCTTGAATGAGTTGCTTCTCTTGAGTCCCCTTTACTGGAAACCAGGTCAAAACAGGCAAGTCATGGTGCTTCTGTGAAGGTCAAAAGGCACAGCTGATTTGTGGAAGGTGCTAGCCCGTAACTGGTCCACAGAAGAGGTTCAGTACTTGCTGTTTTCCTTCCTGCTGAGATTCACAAGTGCAGAATACATCCCTGGGTCCCAGTGTCTGCATCCTGAGCTCTCAGAGGGTCTCCCAGCTTCACGGAGGGAAAATCCCCAGGCTCTGGGACAAACAGTGAATCAGGGCTAGTAGTTCTGTCTCTGTCTCACAGTTTGATTATGGAGAGTCAGCCTGTTCTAGAATAGGAGCGGTGATTTTCTTCATTCCCAGAGCTGTTGTTAGAGGCACAGGTAAGTGCCAGCTCTGTGTGGAGTTGAAAGTGTCATCCACATGCAGAGGATTATTATCTCTTTCCTAGGCATGGCATAAGGAGCTCTGGTAGCGTAGTGGTTACAAATCAGGCTGTGAACCGCAAGGTTAGGAGTTCGAAACTACCAGCTGTTCTACAGGAGAAAGATGAGGCTTTCTGCTCCCGTAAAGATTTACAGCCTCGGAAACCCTGTACAGGGTCGCTATAAGTCGGAACCTACTCCATGGCATATAACATCAACAACAGGCATGGTATAGCCATCTGCACACAACGACAAACACAGCAGTGGTATATTCTCAGTGGGGACGGGGATGAGATTTGTAGCATTTGCTAACTTCCATGACTTATTTCAAGCTACCATTTAGTTGAACAATTCATTCTCACCAAATCCCTAAATATGTAATAAATGGTTTGCTACCAGGCCAGCAACCTCATATCACTGACAGGGGTAAGAAATCAGGCCTGGAATCTTCTATTAGCCAGCCTAGTGTCCAAATGTATGTGGATGGCTTGGGAACTCCTTTTCTTCTCCCTTCCATTTGGAGTTGCCTCTGCACAGATTCCATGGTTAAAACCGCTTCCTTCCTAACACTTCTCTTGGGTTGAAAGCCAGAAGACTCTATAGAAGGCAGAGTGTGGGTGTACTGGTCTGTGGGAAGGGCTCCACTTAACCACTGCTTTTCAGAGTTTCATTCTGTGAGGGTGGGATGAGGACTGGAGCGGAGGGAGATGGGAGTCAGCCTCCCACATCTACCTGTTGAACACTAACTCCTGCCCTTACAGAAGGGTTTACACAGCATCTCCCTCTTCTTTGTGCCTCTTATAGTCGTGCCACTGTCTCAAGGTTTGGAAGCCTGCACCCTACTTCCCTGCAGGCTCTCTTAAGGACCGTCCCAGTTGGTGACACATCGGAACTGCTTTATAGATCCTTGTTACATCAATAACTAAATGATTCCATGTGCATAGGCTCTGGAGTGGCCCCTCGCTATCCCTCATTATAAACAGTGTCTGCCGGCACACTCCTAGCTTGCCCTTCTACTCACTCATTTATTCAATATTGATCATTGGGTGCCCATGAGAGGCACAGGGCTAGCTGGCCACAGAATCTAAGGATGAATTTGTGGTTCTTAGTTTGGTGGGTTTGGGGGAAAATAGTAGGAAATACAAGAGAGGGTCCAGGGCTGGAAGAAATGGATGAGCTCATTTTAGAGATGATAAATTCAGGTGCCCACAGAACGTACAAAAGGAGGTGCTCAGAGGCAGATGGATACAGAGTGTGGAGCTTAGGATAGAGGCGGTATCTTTGTTAAAACTTCCATCAAGAGTTCCAGGTTATAGAAAGACCAGAACGACCTTTTGTTATCCCTCATGCTCGCTAAGCCCATGTTCCCATGCCTTTATCAGTTGGTCCATCTACTGGAAATGTTCTATGTGTAGAAACCTACTTTTCTTTCAGGTGCCCATGCCAACTGCTGTTTCGGAACCTTAAGAGTGGGAACCAGCCACCCCTCCTCTGGGCTTTCCCCCCACTGTTAATACCACCTTGGTAGAGCTTCCGACCTGGGCCCTCCCCTCCCCCATTGTGCTACAAGCTCCAGAGAGAAGGGACGGACTCCTCTTCTGTGCCCCTCATGGCACCTGCCAGTGTTGGCACATCATAGGTCCATGCCTTCTGTGTGCTGCCCGAATGAATGGACTTCATTTATTGTTCTGGGAAGACCCACTCCTTACACCAGCTTCCTGTGCAGATGGCCTTGGAAGGCTGCACTGTGTGTCCTGCTGAGCACAGTTGCTGCCCTGAGGCAATGTTATTCCTATCAGACAGCAAGGAAACAATCTGTCCTGTTGTTTCCCACACCAACCCTGCCCTCAGGGTACCCCTCAAGGTTATGTTCCTGTCAACACTGTAAGGGATAAGGGGGTACAAGGGTGTCTATCTCCCAACCTGTCCCTTTTCTAATTTGCACTCATAAATAGAGACGAGCTGTTCTGTTTCTTAATACTTTTAATCATGAAAAAAACAAAGCCTAGTTGCTAACTTAGATACAAAGAAACTTGAGTTCTCCTAAGAATTAGTCAATTTTGTATTTCTCCACTATTTTTTGAAACAGCTTATTGCAATTATTGATGAAAGCATCTTTCAGTGTTGTAATACTGTCTTTCCAAACAATGAGAGACGGTGATCCGTCACCCCCAGACCAGCTGGTGAGTCCAGTATCGAACCTCAGAACCATCTCTGGTGCCAGGGAAGTGGGATCCATGGTCAGAGCCTATGTCCTGGGATGGAGGGGGCCCATAACCTCTTCAAGGGCCTCCCAGATCTGGGCCAGGCCAGTGTTTCCCAGATTTTGTGCCTACTGATGCCCACCTTTGCAGCGCTGCTCCCTGGGGAGTTGACAACTTGCTCTGGAACATGCTTCTGAGCCCCATGTAATCTAAGAGAGTCAGGACAAGCAGATTTCAGAGCAACACATTACCCAGACTGACCAGTCCAGAGATGGGGGTGGGGGGTCACGTGACTTGCATCTCTTTCACTGCTGGGCACCTTATTTCACCTAGTATCTCTTGGGGTTAGGTAGCTTCTCATCATTATATACAGAACTGCTTCATTCTTTCTGAGACTTTCAGCCTGTCCCGCTGCTGTCTGGGCACCCACCTCACTCAATGTGACACCCTCAGGGAAGGATGCTTCATTTGCGTTGCTGCCTGGAGACCCTAGTACATAAGCAGCTATGAACCCTGTAGAATATTTGTAAGTGTTCTTAGAGAATTCTAGCTTTTGAAATAGAAAATGGCTTCTGCAAATAAGGTTAACTAATGTGCTCAGGGTAAAATATGACATGTATCAAATTGAGGTCCACCTCTACCTCACAGTTGCTATTAGTCACTATCAAGTCAGTTCTGAGTCATGGCGACCCCACCAGTGCAGTGGAAGGCTGTGCTGTGCTTTATGCAGTGTTCAAGGTTCGGACCTTTTGGAAACAGAGTATCAGGTCTGTCTTCTGTGGTGCCTCTGGGTGGGTTCCAACTGCCAATCTTTCAGCTACTGAGTGAGTGCTTACCATTCGTGCCTCAGTGACTTCCACATCATACTACTCCCTCAACACAACACAACACAACACAACACAACACAACACAAGACAACGAGTGCTAGAACATCCTTCTCATTGGCAAAGGGGGGACTCCAAGCTGGTCATTCTCCTCTTCCGGCTTGCCTTTGTTTTCTAGGAGCCATATTCTGGGTCATAGCAGGGCTGGGGGGTGGGGGTGGGTGTCCCATGATAAGAGTGGTCTCCCCAGGGTCCTTTGGGAAGTTCTGCACAAGGATGGGCTTACCCCCAGCAGGTTTAATCACCAGAGAAGGGTGACTCTGGGTGGTCTCCTTTATTCCTGTGAGCTGGGGGAGGAGGGGCACTTACTGCTGACTTGCTTGGTTGGTTGGGGCTTCTTCAGAACTCCCTAGCTCACTGCTAGCCAAGGCACCACCTCACCTTGAGCCCCCAGGCACCTGACAGACGTGTGCTAAGGGGTAAAACAGTTTACCCCTCTGTTCACAAATACCTAAGGCTTCCTGCTGTGTCCAGTCCTCTAGGAGGTACTAAGGCCAGACATGGAACAAGAGACAGGGGCTGTGGCTCGGCAGGAGCTTAGAGACCAGAGGGAACCGAAGAACAACCCCCCAAGAACCAGGGCAGACGACTTGCAGAGTGAGATGGGGACTGGGTTGTCTTTCTTGGGAACTTGGCCCGGGCACCACCTCTCTCTACTCCTTGTCCCGAGGGCTTTTCAGAGTTTGGGGCCTCAAGGAACATGTTGACTTGGCCGCAGGGTGTGGGGGTGGAGAGAAGGAAAGAGATACATTTGGGCAACAGGGCGGGGCAAAACCCGTGAGGTCACCAAGGCCTAGATAAAGGGGCACAGGGCGGGCGCAGGTGGCAGAACCTTCTCTCCTCAGAGCCACAGCTGACCTCAGCAATGAGGCTCCTCTTCACTGCCCTGCTGTCCCTCGGGGCCTTTGGTGAGTGCATGTGTTGGGGAGGCGTCCCGCCTGAGGGGCATCCTTGTTTTTGCTCCCTGCCGATGGGCACCTTAGGTCCTTGAGCTCTGCTGGTAGGCACCCTGGGTCTCTCCATTCTGCTAGTGGGCATCCCTGCGCTTGCAGACGGAGAAGCGGTCCCTAAGGCTGGCGGGAAGATGCCGGCAGAAAGATGCCTGCAAGAAGAATTCGGATGGTCCCGCCCCTCTGCTTGGGGCGGAGCCAGCGGAGGGTGCCACGAAACCCGGTGAGGCACAGCCATCGAGGTGCAGAGCTTCCCCAAAGGCCTCCTACAACAGTGTCCCATTTTGTCCCACCAGGACCTTTGACATCATCAGATTGTTGTATGCGTTTTGTGAGGGAGAAAAGTGAGGCTCAGAAAGGGTGAGCGGTTTGCACTAGTTTCAGATTCGAGACCCCAACTCTTTGATGGACTGTGTCTATGAGGCCAAACAGAGCTTCTCTGAGCCTTAATTTTAAAGACAGTCCACCGGTGGTTCCACAGGGCTCTTGTGAGGAGGAGACTGGCGCACCTGCACAGTGCTGGTCTCCGGGGCAGTGATGCAAACCTGTCCCCCGCCCCCTGCTTGGGGCTTTTCTATCAGAGGGTTTGGAAGGGGAATGGTGGATTCCAGCTTTGAAATATGCCAAATGGAAAAGTTTAAACGCATGTTGGGAGCAGTGGTGGTTCAGTGTACAATTCTTGTTTTCCATGCAAGACACCCAGGTTCACTTCCTAGCCAAGGCATCTCATGTGCAGCCACCATGGTCAGTGAAGGCTTGGGTGATGCTATGTCCAGCCAGCCTTCCAGATTAAGATGGGCTAGAAAGAAATGCCTGGGAATCTAATTTTGTAACAGAAGCCAATGAAATTCCTATGGACACAATGATCCCATCTGGAGGTGCATGAGGACACCAGACCTGATTTAACAACAGTAGCAACCAACAGTTCTTAGCTCTGCGATGTACAAGTGTGTGAGTTCCAGCTTTCTGCAGTGGGGCAGGGGTAGGAAGTCCAGAGCAGTGGAAAGAAATCACAACACTCTGGAGTGTGGCCTGATTTAGCCACAGAATAGAAGGGATGGAAAGAGGGGTGTAGGGAGGAATGTACAAGTCCAGATGACTCCATCAAAGGATGAAGCTGTCTCCCCCAGGGACAGTGCATAGACTCTGACTCCTTGATCTCTTTTTCCCAGGGCTCTGTCTGGCCACCTCTGAGAATATCGTTAAATGGTGCACCATATCACCTGATGAGGCAGAAAAGTGCTCTGAATTCAAAAAGAATATGCAAAGTGTGGGCGCCCCACCTCTCACCTGTGTTAACAGGACTTCCCACCGTGAATGTATCCAGGCTATTGCTGTAAGTCAGTGCCATTTGTTGATGGGGACCAAACTGGAAGGCAAGGAAAAGGAAGGGAGAGGAATGGAATAAAACAGTAAACACTTCCCTCCACTATTCCCCTTGTTTTATTTCATGGGCTGCAGTAAGTTGGAAGTAGTTTTCTAACACTGGAAACGGAGTTTCCATTTTTATTCTGGAAGTAGAAAGAAACAAGCTAGAAGTCTCTAAGTGGGAAGATCAGATGTGGGAAAACTGGGATCTCAGTATGAATTGATGGTGGTTAATAAAATGTTAGTTAATAAAATGCTAGCATATAAAATTAAAGTCTTTTAAAAACTGAGTTATGTATGATGAGACTGTAGTGTTGGTGGCAGATTCATCTGAAAGGTGAAATCTCCTTGCTCCAACCCTGAGAGAAATAAACTTGCTCTGGTCATAGTCAGCACTCCACACTGCTGGGGAAAGGTCTACCGGATACTGGGCACTTGAAAGAAATCCATCCAAGGCATTTTCTGGGAAATAGAGAGAGGGGGTGGGGGGGTGGGGGGGGGGGGGGGGAGTTGGGGAAGGGTATCATGCCTGTGAAATCATTTCTGATTCGTTTGTTTGTCTAGATCCAAAGATCTACTGAAATGAAAATTTACTCATTTAGTCAACCAATTTGTTCTGCATATCTGCTCTGTGCTGCAGTCATGTGTTCTTAACTTCAGCACACAGTGGGATAGAAGGAAGTGTCTATGGCAAACCAGTAGGGTCATTTCATAAATATAATGGAGTTATTAAAATAGTACTTAGAGAAAAAATTTAGTCTGCTTGGTCTTTTAGCCTGTTGCTGTTGTTAAGTGTCATCGAGTTGACCCTGTATATGATTTCCAAGTAGCAACTGGTGTGTTTAAACTGCTGACTTTGCAGTTAGCAGTCCAGTACTTATACTATAGCACCATACCAGGACTCCATCTTTTAGCCTGTTATTATTTCACAAGTATAGTCTTTGGACAAATGGCACCAGAATTTCATATTTGTTTAAAATATAAATTCCTGGACTAGGATAAGCACTGGACCTCAAGGTCAGTTTGAACTGCAAGGTTGGTGGTTCAAACTCACCAGCTGCTCCTCGGAAACCCTATACAGGGTCATTATGAGTCCACCAGGTGCTCCATGGAAGAAAGATGAGGCTTTCCGCTCCCAAAAAGCTGTAAAGCCTGAGAAGTCCTATACAGGGTCACTATGAGTTAGAACTGACGTAATAGCATTTAACAGCAACAATAACAACAGTCTAACAGAATTTAGATATCTGGGGATAACGTCATGGAATCTACATTGTTAGTAAGAGTCCCATTTGAAAATCATTGCTGTACATTATGCATCAAAATAAAGCTGAGATAGATTAAATGGTTAAAAATAAAGCTTCTATTATTGAAAGACTCGGGGCAGGTTAACTAGCTGAATTGTAGAGGAAAGAAAAATTCAAAAATTGAAGCAATGGATTAAATAATGAAATAAAAATATAACAAAATTAACTCCTAGCAATGAAAAACATGTTAACAAAAGATTAAAAAAGCAATACGCTGAGTATGTGTTTATACTTTATAAAGAAACTGATTTGAATGAGTCAGAAATGTAATACCACATGAGGAAAATGATATGATCAGGAAAAGAGAAATAATGAGTAAAACAGATTTAATAACCTGAGAGAATGCAAACCTATTACCTTTAGCATTTTCTAAAACAAAAACACTTTAAAAAACCCCAACACATCTCCTAGTGGTGATTCTGTAATGAAATAGTCTTCATTGTCCATGGCATTCGCAATTGGCATTATGAGTTTCCGGGAAAGCAAAATGGCAGCATGCAGCAAGGCTGTAAAAATAAATATAGTCATTGTCTCTCAGATGCCTATCCCAAGGAAACATCAGAAAGAAAAGAAAAGAAAAAATTAAGGCACAGGTATTCATTGCAGAATAGCTTTCATAATTTCTAACAGCTAGAAGTTAGACATAACTCCAGGTAGTGAACATTTGGGGAATTGCTTAATAAATTATGGAATATCAACATTATCGTAAAATATGATGCAATCAATAAAACTCAAGAAAGGTTCTGCAGAAGAAAGAAAATATATGCAGCCTTAGATGAATCAAGTGGTCCACAAAGTATTATGGAACATGTATACCATGTTGCAAATACAAGAAATATGTAAGCATGTGCAAAGTAGTACAAACTTGGTTTATGGAATGATCATGGTTTATTATGATAATTTTAAAATTTCTTAATAGTTTTATTTTCTATTCAAGAAAACCTAACCGGAAAGAAAGAAATAACCAAATCAGAAGAGAAATCATCTAGTGAAAATAAGCAAAACACTGTGTTGTTGTTGTTATGTGCCATGGAGTCGGTTCCAACTCATAGCGACCCTGACAGGGATTAATAGAGATAAATGGGTGCATGGCACAGAAGGACCTCCCCAGCACCAGTGATTAAGGCAATTGGCTGAGTGCGGGGGTGTCCTGCCCTCCGCGGGGGTCGTGGGACATGAGCGAATACGTGGAAACTTCGGGTGAAGAAATGAATGAATACAACTCGAGAGGCTTTTCAGCTTGCTGTTGCTGTCCGGCTATGCTCTCTAGCTTCTGCTCTTGCTTCTGCTTCCTGTTCTCTTTGCTGTCTGCCCTCTGCTCTCTGCTGTCTCTTCTCTTTGCTGTCTGCCCTCTGCTCTCTGCTGTCTGCCTTCTCCCCTCTCCCTCCTGCTCTCTGCTTCTTCTCTTGCTTCTGCCTGCTCTTCTGCCTCCTTCTCCTTTCTTTCTTCTTCCTTCTGCTAGCCCAGCCCAGCAAGTCTTTATTTTTTATACTTAAAATTACACAGTACATGCATTGACACTTTTATCATTTCTTGAATTATTACACAGTTAGTCACAACATTCTTGCACCTGGTCCTTAAACCGCCTTAACAAGAATACTCTGTGATGTTCAGATTGACCTTCATGTTCTTTCCCAGTATGAGATAAAACGGTTTCTTCTTGTTTCTACTAAAAGACTATAAACTTTCTATCCTACATAATGTGCTATTATTTTCATAATAAAGATATACACTAAATCACTTGGAAGCTATGCGGCATAAATCTCAACTTGGCTACTTGCTGCAAGAAGTGTAGATTATAAAGTCAAAACTATTCTTCACTTAAGTTCATTATTGTCTGCTTGTTTATGCAGGTGTCTGTATGTAGGGGTTTGTGAATTCTAGCTAGTGACTGATTGTGGTGAGGCCTATGGGGGTAGGTCAGCTTGACTCTAATATGCTTATCTGCTTTTGTGGCCTCACAAGTGCAGTTACTTAGGTTTTCTAAGGAAAGGGAGTAATTTATACAATTTCTCTTTGTATTCAATCCACCAAGGCTGAAAGCAATTGCTGCATAAGCTAGTTTTTCCTAAGGTTTGTAGAATTCATAGTGAAAGGTTGTGAATATTGCTAAATTATATATATATTTATAAGTAAAATTAAGATTACTCTATAGAGAAGGTAGAAAGCAACTTCTGAGAGCTATCTGTTTCGTCAGACTACTCTAATATTTACTGGACTGTGTCAAGCAGTAAATCGAAGCTGTCCTCTACCCTCACAGCTCCTAGCAGCGGAGTGCTCATTGATCCAAAAGAGGAATTCTTAGCTGATGCCATCTCTCAGCAACATTGATGGATCAAATGGATTGAAAGCTGGGAAATGGACAAAAATGACTGTTTTTTGAAGGCCCTTCTGGCCCTGGAGCCTTTATGCTGTTCTGATGTCCACTGGTCTGGGTTTCGGCAGGTTTTCTCCTGAAGTTGGTCTGTCCTCTTTTCTTTTAGGCAAAACAGGCAGATGCTGTGGTTGTCGATAGTAGTTTGGTGCTTGAGGCAGGCCAGGCCCCCTACAACCTGAAGCCTGTCGTGGCTGAGGTCTACGGGTCCGAAGCACGTAAGTTTTCCTGGGGACCCAAAAACCAGTTGTGGCACTGGCTTTGGTCCAGGGCTCCGTGAGTCAGACTGGATGAGGACACTGAGGCAGGGGCTTGGTTTGGCATTACATATGCAGGGAGCCCCATGAGATGATCCTTTTTGGTACTGACTCAGGAAAGATGGTGCTCTCTCTGAGGAAACATGGGCTTCTCGGCCTTCAGTTCCTTCTTCCCACAGGGAATTGGGAGGCTGTTTTTCTTCCTCTGGTCCAGGCTAGGATACTTCAGTGCTTTCTGCCCCTTTGCAGAGCCACAAACTCACTATTACGCCGTGGCCGTGGTGAAGAAAGGTACAAACTTCCAGCTGAACCAACTCCGAGGCAAGGCATCCTGCCATACAGGTCTTGGCAGGTCTGCAGGGTGGAACATCCCTATTGGGACCCTTCGTCCATTCTTGAAGTGGGCAGGACCACCTGCATCACTTGAAATGGGTAAGATGGCTATGGGATGGTGGGTGTCAGGCAGGGGTCTCTACCCTAGCTGCACACACAGGCTGCTTTGGGGTCACATGCTTACATGTGTGGTGAGTCCGAAGTGGGCTGAGGTTAACCAGATTTCAACATGCTTGGGCAGGGCTCTCTGTACTAACACTCTGGGAAGATGGCAGCCAGCCCTTCTCTCAGCCATGGGCATCTCCCTGCAATCCTAACACACTCAGAGGCTGCCTGCAGGAATGGGGGAAGGAAAGGGCAGTCTCTGCTCATGGGGACCACAGCTGGGAATGTAACTGACTGGGGTCGGAGATGGCTCCCACTCTGTGCTCTGCTTCTCTGTGTTAAACAGCTGTGTCTAGGTTCTTCTCGAAGAGCTGTGTTCCCTGCGCAAATGGAAAGCGTTTCCCTAACCTGTGTCGCTTGTGTGCTGGGGAAGGAGCAGATAAATGTGCCTGCAACTCTAAGGAACCATACTTTGGTTACTCTGGTGCCTTCAGGTGAGTGGGACTGTCCACGTCTCTACAGTGGCCCAGAGGACCCTTCTCTGGACCAGAATAGAGCACAGCCTGCTTTCAGGGAGGCCAGAGAGAGTTTGAGTTCTCCTACTGCTACCCAGATAGGAAAACTGTCAGTGAATAGGCCTCTCCCCCTTCCTCACCTCTACATCAACTTTGGTTCCTTCTGCCTCCCCAGAAAATCCCTAGGTTGTCCTGGGTTCCTTCTACTACTTCCTGCCCACTTCCCACACACAGAGGGAATAAAGGGGTCTTGCCTGGGCAGGACAGCTGGACAGCTGCTGTGTTGAATCTGATGTTCTGCCAAATCTGGGATCTTTGCTTGCTATTCACCCCCTCCTCACACCTTCCAGCCTAAGCAGAGGCTGAAGTGCCTGTTTCCCCCTCCTTGTTTCGTCTCCTGGGAGGTAAGGCATTTCTGTAGGAAAGGAGGCCTCCCCACACTGGCCAGGGCACATCTGCTCACTCAGTTCTGGGAGAAAGAGCCACATATCCTGCCAGTGTATGTCTAAAACCAGAGCCACCGGCCAGGGACACCAAGCCTTCTCAATCCCCTTACCCCCTGTCCCATGTAGAGACTTCAAAACTGCCTTTTATGCTGAAGAAAAAAGTTTGGACTTTCCAGCCCTTAAAGCAAAAGGTGGGGAATTCAGGCTGGTCCCTGAGTCTTCCTTCCTGAGCATGGCGCTGGGGGAGCAGGTGTACTACAGGACAGGATTTCAGGGCATCACCGGCTGAGTGGCTGCGCCTTGCTGAGCCTTCTGGTGGTTTCTCATTTCACAGGTGCCTGAAGGATGGGCTTGGAGAAGTGGCTTTTGTCAAGGAGAGTACAGTGTTCGGTAAGAACAGAGAGACAAGCCAGGGGTACTTACCCCTTTCATTTGATTCTGTCACATGCTGGGGCTTTCATCGGGATTCTCTCTACAGGACACAGCTCTTGTTCATGCTATTTCACATGTGAAATATTTCATTTTCTGGAAGTCATACATGCTCACTGCCTTCTCTTCCCCTCATAGACACCCATATCCAAGTGCTCTACATGTGTCCTCTGAGTTACATGTTGTCACACAAAACGTACAGGCCTGTTTTGTGTTTGTGGATTTTAAGTGCATGAGACTTTTACTAAGTGTTAGAAAGCATGACATTCCTAAGCTCCCCCATTCAGCATTATTGTTTTAGAAATTTTTCTTTACTGCTGTGTATACATCTAGTAAAGTGTTCTCACAGTTGAGGAGCAGTTCATGGAAACGGACCCACCACATCTTACTTACCTGTCATACTGGTGATGGACAAGCAGGCTGTCACTTCCTTTCTCTACCTCTAACAGCTTTAAAATGGCTACCCTTATAAGTGCCTTCTTATTGTCCTGTAGGACAATGTCCCTGAGTGACCACACACTGAAACATAATTGCTGGGTGTATATAGGCCCACCACATTGCACCCAGGGCCACCAGAGGCAAGTTTCCTTACAATAACTGTGATAAAAGTTACACCTTTTCCTACCGATAAGTGGAGCTACATCTCTACCAAGTTTGCATATATATCCATGGATCAGTTTTTGAAATACTTTGTTGAATTGTTGTATATATGTGTATTTTTTTCTTTTAATTTCTTTGTCTTATCATGGGTCTTAATAGTGTTGTTGTCATTATTAAAGTGCTGTCAAGTTGGTTCCAACCCATAGCAACCCTGCATAGGGTTTCTGAGGATATAAATCTTTGTGGGAGCAGAACGCCTCATCTTTCTCCCATGGAGCAGCTGGTGGGCTAGAATTGCCCACCTTGCGGTTCTCAGTCCAGTGCTTATCCTACAGACTCACCCTGTTCCCATAATATCTGGTACACTTATAATTTTTTCACATATATATTTGAATCACTTTTAAAATCACTTTAAAAAAATGATAATATGATTTTTATTGGAATTACATTGAACTTAAATTGATCCTGAGAAATTAACATATTATTTATAACATTAAGCTGTCCAATCCATGATCATGATCAATCTCTTCATTTTTTTTTTTT